AAAAAAAAAAAAAAAAGATGCAGGATATGAGGACAGGTCTGGTCCTTCTGCCTCAACCAGCCATTCTCTCCCCACCCTTACCCCAGGTTATCATCAGCCAGTGGGGAAGCCAAGAGTAGGAAACCCCTCTCGGAATCCATGAATACACAATGGATCGGGCACATGAAGAGGGTTAGCAGCAGGGACTGACATGAGACCTCAGACAGAACTTTCTGGGGTGTACTGGAGATCAAGGGTAAGGAATAAATAGGGCCAGGGCTGTAAGTATACAACAGAGGGCTTTCCCACCTTAGGTTTACTATGTACATATTAACATAAAATTTGTTGTCCAAATCCAGACAGTTCTGAGATTGAAAGGGGGTGGGTGCTATTAACAATCATGGACAACGGGCATAAAGCTAGACTGTCCTGGAAAACCTGGTCCTCTGGTCACCGTAATTATACAGGACTGCACTGCCCAACAGGCAGGGGGCCACGTGGTCTTAGGCAGGATCGGAGGACTTCAGTCAGGTAGGGGGCAGCGGGAAGGAGGGCAGCTCACTTATTCTTGAAGTCCTCCACCAGCCCCTGCATGTTGCCAAACTCCACTTCCAGCTTCAGCTTCTCCTGGCCCAGGGTGTCCAGCTGCCGCCGGAGGTTGCTGATGTAGCTCTCGAACATGTTGTCTATGTTGCTCCGAGCGGTTTTCTGCTGCTGTAGGAGGCTCCATTTGGTCTCCAGAATTTTGTTCTGCTGCTCCAGGTGCCTCACCTGCATGAGGGAAGAGGGAGCAAAAAGGTCCACATCGGGCCCATGGGGCAGGGGAGGAGTCTGGGGGGTAAGCAAGCACCGTCTTCTCCCCTAAGCCACTTCCAGTGGTGTCTCCAGAACCCAGAGAGCTGTTTAGCTGCTCTGGGAGGCTCCCCAGTGGCCTGAAAGAGACAGCATGGTGAGTGGAGTAGGGAGCCATGTCCCCCAAGTGCTGGGGGTAGAGGGGAAGGGGGACAACAAGCAAGCACATGGGTGGAAGGGAAGGGCTAGGAAAGTTATGTTGAAATGGTATTTGCAGAACAAATAGGTCTTATTTACTTAGACTGTATATTACAAATCAGTAAGAATAGCCAAGTTTCCATTAACACTTTATAGAAGATTGAAAAAGAAATGTAATTGCTCATATCAAATATTATCGTCATCATCATTATTATATGGAGTGGCTTCGAGGCACTCCTACAGATTACAGAGAAACTTCAGCCCTTCGGCCCAAAGAGCACTCGCCAGAAGACCTAGGTTTTAGCCAAAGGCTGCTACAGATCCTTTGCCGCACGACACTGAGTTGCTTCCCCGCTCTGAGCCTGGGTCTCCTCAACCCTGCGGTGGCCTGGAGGAGCCCAGGCAGGCCCTTTCAGGAGCTTATCTCTGTGCAGATGTCCCTTTCAGCCAGAGAAGAGGCAAAAGACTAGGCAGATCTGGGTGCAAACTGCACACCCCCCTCCCCATTGCACTCCCTCTGAGATTCTCCAGCAGGTAGGGGGCTCCCCGACCCCCACCCCACCCTTGAATCACAGTCCTCTCTCTCCGCCCCAAACACAAAGGTCCCGGGGTTCCTTGGGCTCAAGGAATCCAGATTTTAGGATGAAACTAAGGCATGTTAGAAATGATTGATTGAGGGGCGCCTGGGTGGCTCAGTCGTTAAGCGTCTGCCTTCGGCTCAGGTCATGATCCCAGGGTCCTGGGATTGAGCCCCGCATGGGGCTCCCTGCTCCGCGGGAGGCCTGCTTCTCCCTCTCCCACTCCCCCTGCTTGTGTTCCCCCTCTCGCTATCTCTCTCTCTGTCAAATAAATAAAATCTTTAAAAAAAAAAAAATGATTGATTGATTGATTGTATTTTTTAAGTAATCTCTACAGCCAACATGGGGCTTGAACTCACAACTCTGAGATCAAGAGTTGCATGCTCCACCAACTGAGCCAGCCAGGTGCCCCAGAAAGGAAATTTTTAAAAGAAAGAATAATAGACGAGTTCCAAGAGCAGGAATGCATTGTCTTTAATCAAACCAAAGTCGTCACTTCTTTTAAATTGAGGGGACTTAAAAGAGAAGGCGGTCTGAAGGGTGCAGTCTTGATCCAACAAATTCTTCTCTATAAATCCTTTTCTTCCCCAGGTCATTCTGCCCGCAAATTATAAAAAGTAAATGATTTTAACATTTAGCCTTAATGGACTGCTTAATATGGGCCAAGCACTGGTAAGCTCTGTACATACATTATATGCCTGAATAGGTAAAACCTCTTTGATTTAGGGATTATCATGCCCATTTTATAGATGAAATCAGATTTGGCAAGGTAGCCCCATCAAAGGAAAGGGCAGGGCACAGCGAAGCAGAAATTCCGACTCAGAACCTGTGCGTAACCACTCACTGTGAGGACCCCAGGGCTCACAAAACGCTATCAAGGAGTGAAGTCAAGGGTGCCTTTTGCCCAGGAGCCAGCAAGCCCTCCTTAAGGGGGGCGGGGGGGAGGGGGCGGGCAATTCCCTGGGGGGACTCCAATTCCTAAGGGCGCTACTCTGCCCCAGGATTTGCCTCCTTCCCTTCCCACAATGCCTCCAGGAGCCAGTCCGCAGGGAGGGGCCCAATCCTCTGGAGCGCTGCCCCCCACCCCCAGCCCGGGGGCAGCAACCACCGAGGCTGCAAAACCCGGCTCGGTGCCTGCCCTCGGAAAAGTGGAACCAGGCTGGGGCGGAGCCGGGGTCGGGAAGAGCGAAAGGGGACAAAGGCCGAGGGGGGAGAGGGGCGTTGGCGGACAGACGCCTTATTTGAGGCCATAAACTCTGGGATTGAACAGGACAAGAAACCCGGGCGGGGTGTCCAACGCCCGCAGACTTTGAATCCTGGATGGGCTTTCCTGAAGCCAGCCCCTGGCGCCCCCCTCCCCCCGACCCCACCCCCAGAAGCTAAGAGCTGCCCAGGTAGGGGAGCGCCTCCCCAAGACCGAGGGCCTCAGCCCCTCACCCCAAGATGGGGGGCGAGTGTCGGCCCCGCCCGGCCCCGCCCACGCCGGGTTCCCAGGGCAGGGGCAAGGTGATGACTCATCTCGGTGCCCCGACACTCAGGGCCTGGAATGCCGAAGGCCTGAATCAATATTTGCCCTCTGAGTCAAATCACCCGCTTCCTTATTCCACAATCCTATCAAACCCTATTTAAATTAAAAAAAAAAAAAATCGGAGGGGCACCTTTGGGGAGCCCTTGGGGCAGGGCCAGGGAGAAGGGTTAACCTGGTTAAAGGGGCCTCCCCGTCCCACCCCACAGCTGAACAGCTAGGGCTCTTCCAGGCTGAAAGCTTCACAGAGCCGTCAGAACTCGGGTAGGGGTGTGATGCGTGAGGGAGGAAGCCTCAAGGTTTAGTGAGAAGCTGCCCGGACCCTTTCCCCCTGGCTGCGCCCGCCCAAACCGACGTGCATGGGAGGACTGAGTCATAGTTGGAAGGGAGAGTGCTGCAAGGGTGGGTGGCGCCAGCAGGCCGCCGGTGGGGAGCTGGAGATGTGCCCCCAGACAGGGCGACCAAGACACAGGTCGGGACCCCCAGCCCCAGGCACTGCCCGCCATGCGGGCGGGATGGCCTCACCTTGTCGATGAAGGAGGCAAATTTGTTGTTGAGGGTCTTGATCTGCTCCTTCTCTTGGGTGCGCACAGCTTGGATGTTGGGGTCCACCTCCAGCTTAAGGGGGCTCAGCAGGCTCTGGTTCACTGAGACAGCCGTGATGCCCCCCACGCCGCCGCCGTAGCCCCCGACCACACTCATGCTGCTGCTCAGGCCACCCCGGAAGCTGCTGCTGCTGCCGCCCACCCGGGAGAAGGCAGAGGAGCTGATGCGGGAGCCAGGCCCGCTCGTGTAGGAGCGGCTGCTGAAGGCCCGGGGGCCAGAGGTGGACATCTTGTAGGACTTCTGGGTCACCCTGATGGACATGGTGGAGGCCGGAGTGAAGGCTGGAGTGGAAGCGAGTAGGCTGAACCTGACAGAGGTTCCAGAAGGAGCCGGGAAGCTGCTTCTAGGTGGGAACAGACCCCCCACGGTTGGCCCTTTATAAAAGAGAGCCCAGCCCAAGGGGAGGATCCAACGGGTACCTGAGTGGCTAGGCCCTGAGGGGGCTGGGCCTAACCCGACACCTGCCACCTACAGGCCGGACTCAGGTGGGGGCAGCAGAGAGCTGCTCCCACCCAGGAGCCCACTCTAGCTAGCGCTGCCCCAGCTCAGGAAATGAGGGATTCCGGAAGTGTAACACTGGAGAGACCGTCCAGCCTGGCGGGAGCCTCCTGTAACAAAGAGACTTGGTTGGGGTCTCCCAGACACTGCAAGCCCTCCTCCTCCGTCTGGTCTCCTTCCCCCCTTGGGGAAATAAATGCAAGGACTGGGAAGCATAGCAGGAAAGGGATCCCAGAGTAGCTGACTCCCCAAAGTCACCACCTCATGTTCTTCTCTCCGCTTTGAGTGATGAAGCAATTCTGCCCAGGCTGGAGGACAGGGCATCTAGGTTCCAGATCCTTGAACCTGAGGCCAGCCATCTGCCTAGTCTCTCCTCAGTTACTGCTATTAACCTCAGCATCCGGTGCACTGCCAGGAGGCACTGGGTGAATAGTTGTGGAATGAATGAACACACACACACACACACACACACACACACACACACACACACACACTGGCTGTCTTCCCTCTGGGTCTGTGGGTGCAAGAAAGTGAGATCCAACAGAGCACGTTTCCTGGACACAACCTAGTGCCTTCCTCTCCTCCCAAGATCCCAGGATTCCCTGGGGCCAGGCTGGACCCTGTAGGCCTTACTCTGGGGCACAGAGAATGAAGAACAAGGGGCTAAAGAGAGAAAGGGGGGGGCGCTCAGGAGAGAGGGAAGCTGCACTTGCAAGAGTCGGTCCCATAGCACTCGGTGGGTGAATCACGGGAAGGGAGACAGGACCGTGTGGGGTGGCGTGGGTGGGTGGGGCGCTGATGATGAGTCAAGCTGGAGCCACCTGGACCCTCTTTCTTTTCCCAGGCCAGAGGAGATGGAGGAAGAGTCCCTGCACCTGTCTCCCTGAGCCCATTATCAGAATGAGTCAGACAGCAGGTTGGAAAAGAGCACACCCGTAGAAGTCTGAAGAATGGGGAGCTCTGCAGGGAGCCCCAGGCCTGGGCGGGCCCGGTGTGGCAGGCTGTGGGTGTAAGGCAGGAGTTGGGCCCCTGCAGCAGAGATTCCAGCAGCAATTACCTGATGACTGGGGCTAGAGTCTCAGAAAGATCCTGCAGGGCATGAAGTGGGGATTGGATGACACCCAGCTAGAGTCCCCTGGAGGAGAGGGACACACAGCCCACAGCCCCCACCCTAGGGCAGGGGGTGACCATGACTGCCCACCGGCCAGGAGGGCAGATATACAGGTTCCTCCCCAGCCTTCAGGAGACACGCTCAGGCTTCCAGAAGGACAGACACCTAGACCCCTACTCAGAGGGACAGAAAGACCCAGAAGCCCCCTCTTTGGGGACAGACATAAATCCGAAAAGACAGACCCACAGAAGAGTTCCACTCAGACCGAACACACATATACACACACAAGGACACACTTGTCCTTTCCACAAAGACAAATCAGAGGCTCCCAGAGGGGACGCAGGGTCCACATTCCTTTCTCCCCTCCCCTCTTTCCTCCCCCCCGCTCTTCCCCAGACTTCTGGCCTCCTCTGACTTGCTGAACCAGCAGGGGAAAATCCAGTTTGTACCTGTTTGCACCAGGCCCTCTCCGAGCCCCTTCAAACAATACTTAATTTCCAAAGACTGAATTGAGTGCATGCTACCCCCTCCCCAACAAACACCCACACTAGCAAGGTGGAGAGACTTCTTCCAGAGACCAAAGGGAGGGCATGCGGGCCCAATGCCAAACCTGGGACAGAGAGCAGGAAAGAGAAAGGGAGGGACTGGTCAGACAGGTATGGCAGCCCTGGGGAGGGAGGACACCAGCTCCCCCACTTCTTCCCCTCCCCCATACTGTAGTCCGGTGGACCCAGGCAGATCAGGGGGGAAAGAGAGGGGACAGTGGGGGCAGGGACAGATGGTACCAGAAGTCCTGAACACAAAATAACAACCCAGAGCCAGTCCTAAAGTCTCAGCCCCTCCGCCCCCACCTGCCTGGTTCCCTGGTTCCAAGAGTGTCTTTTGTTGGGACACCTGGGTGGCTCAGATCGTGATCCCAGGGTCCTGGGATCGAGCCCCGCATCGGGCTCCCTGCTCAGTGGGAAGCCTGCTTCTCCCTCTCCCACTCCCCCTGCTTGTGTTCCC